GGGATGCTGTTCTGCGGACTCAGATCGTTGTCGAAGGCTACAGAACTAGAAACTAAAGATGATGTAGTATTGTTAATTGGGAGACGTGAAGGAAGATCAGAAGGTAATGGTGGAGGAGATGGATAACAGTGTGAGGAAACTTGACTGCTGATCGAGTTGTGAGGGCGGTTGACACTTCCCGGCTGCTCACACCGTGGAAGGCTGTTTCTTCTCAAGGTACCTGAAAGAGATTTGTGTGACCGCAGAGCCCATCGGACATCTGCTTGAGGCCTGTTACACTCAGTCTTTTGTGTACAACTGTTTTGAACTTTTGTATTTTTGGGGCCGGATGGTCGAAAGGAAACGACAAATAAACCAACACCGCTGGCCCGGCAGACCGTGGGGCATGGTGGAGTGTGTTATTTTTGGGGCCGATCTTTTCCAACCCACCCCACTTCCACAGAGGAGGCAGCATCGGCATGGCACTGCTGGTCATCCAAGGGAAACACCTAACTGCTGCCACACCCTATCCAGCTAGCAGCAGTACGACTTCGCCCTCAGACCCCCATCATAGTGTAGCAATTTACACCACAACGGTAACTGCTTTTCGTCTAACCATTATCCAACAGACCTTTCTGGTATGGTAGGACCTCGAGGGAACAAGCGTTCCACCAGCATAGTTCGTTGGGTCATTGTGATATGCAAGTCTAACCACCACGTCAAGGTAGCAGCTATCGGTCGGGAAAAAGAGCTGGAAAAAATGAGATAAGACTCATTGTATTGTGGCCCCCTCCCACGGAAATCTTTAGTAAAAGGCGAAAGATTTATTCGCAAATGAGGAGACACCAGAGTTGCCGTTGACGTTGTAAGTACATTTTCTGTTCTATTACCGCCTTTTTTATTTATGGGGAAACTGAGTGACCATTAAGGGTCGAATTCGAAAGCTGTATCAAGTCACTGGTAAAGATATAAAAAATGGAGATTGGAGTATACAAAAAAATGCAATAGACGATCACCGTTGTCGGTTCGTTGTCATGATATTCCGTAGATACCTACAAGTCTCCTTCCCGATTGGCTCAAATTCCCCACTTGAGCGTTAAAGTCACCTCCAATGCTCACTTCATCTGGATGTTTTGCTTTCTGTAGCCTTGCACAGAACTCATCCTTTGCATTATCCGAACTGCAGTCGGTTGGTGTGTACGCGATTACGGATAGGCATTCCATAGTCTCACGATCCTTCCTTGATCTTACAGATCCATTCAGTCGGACAGTACGTAAATGGCTGTTGACTGGTATCCATTCGAGAAGCCCACTTCCTGCTCTATAACTCCATGCTATGCCCACACCAGCGAGTCCACGACAGCTAGCCATTGGGTCCCTGCATACTCTTAAGTTGGATTTTGAAGATCCACTAATATGGTCTCGTGAGGTTGATTTACTAACCAAAATCGGGTTTCGTACACGTGTCTCAGGAATACAGTATTCATCCATGGCTACAGACTCCAGAGTTTTGGGGAGCGATGCTTGCTGTCTGACTTTGCACAGAGTTCGGATGTTGAAAGCTCCTATATAACATCGATGTTGGGGTCTTAGGAGACTAGAATTAGGTTTTGACAGCTCGGATTGCTGAGAGTGGTCGCAGGTTGGGAGGTTGAGGAAGGCGTAAGAGGCTTAATGCTAGTATGAGGAGGTGAAGGCAAAGGAGGAGATAAGGTTGATGAGGATAGTTCGTGTTTGGCTGGATCTTGTTTACTACTGGAAGTGTGGGGGTCGGGTGACTTCCCGGATGCACACACCGTAAGTGGCTGGTTCTTCTTGAGATGCCTGAAAAAGGAGGGATGTTACTTAACGGCAGAGCCCAAGGGATAGCTGCTGGCGCCGATTCACATACCGTCTTGTGATGAGTTTGAAATTTTGGTTTTCTCCTCCCTGTATCGGTATTTTTCGAGGGTTGCGAGTGTGACATTTTTATGGCCTACTTTTTCTAACAACACCCCTTCCGTAGGGAATGTAGCATCAGTGTGGCACTGCTGTCTGATCCTTGTCCAGTCATCAGTACAACTTCACCCTCAAAGCCCCACCACAGTGTAACACTTTACACCATAATGGTAACTGGTTTTTATCCAACCAGTATCCAGCAGACGTTTCTGGTGTGTTAAGACCTCGTTCCATCAGCATAGCTCGTTTGGTCACTGTGATGCATAAGTCTCACCACAACGTCAAGGTACCAGCTATCTTTCGGACCAATCGAAATGTACTTCATGTTAATTACGTCTACAGTTAGACTGACAAACGATCAGTCAAGCGATATTACTATTTTTAAACACCGTATTATGTATATATTTCAATATATTCTCATTTTATTGATTACTTTGGCTCTTTGGTCTGATTACGTGTTCTTATACGTTTCACTATGTTTTCTGCATTAATTATTCGGGTCGGGAATCAAATAGGAAGTTGTAGATAATGATGGCTGACAGTTAATATCCGTGCATCGTTAGCAGCTATAGCAATTTGAAACTATAGTCATCTCATAACTTAATTGGAGTAGGATACTTGTATGAAGCGGCACATTGTTCACCGTCGACGCCATTGTCTTCCTCTTGGCTCAACAAAGGTCACTGGTGATCGACGAATTGTTCCGTCCCATATTCAGTCGATATTGGACATATCTAGGAGATTTGTTTACTCTACAAAGTACTACTTGTTATTCCTTCTTGGACCCCAACCATACGTATAAAAATTTGCATGTTTTCGCCTTACTGGCGACAAAAAACAGTTGTGAGACCTCTGCATGCTCCTGTGATAAACAAGAATATCAAACATGTCTAGGGAGGAAATAGATGAGTGCCTTTCCTAACATGGTAGTAGATCTTTTCTGGATGGAGCCTAGCGTAACAATCAGTCTACTTCAAGTTGTTATTCATCGTAGACTGACATCAGTTGGGGGAACAAAGGAAACCTAGGAGCACTGGACAGCTGTTTCGTCCTAGTATAGGACTCCTCAGCAGTGCGCACCCACGACTGCTGAGGAGTCCTATACTAGGACGAAACAGCTGTCCAGTGCTCCTAGGTTTCCTTTGTTCCTCCAACTGATGTCAGTCTACGATGAATAACAACTTGAAATAATTCCAAATCTCCACAACTCCCTCAAAAATTTAATCAGTCTACTGTAAAAACAGCAGTAAATGCAATTGGCGACTTGTATCCAAAGGTTAGCAAAAGCAAGTATTTTTCCACAGCCTCGTCGCAACCTATTGGTTCAGGACAACCTATTTCGACTGAATCTGATTAAAATCTCACGAGAAAACCGCCTTAAAGTAAATCAGCTAAGAGCTTTCGTGATGACTACTACCAGTGGTGGTCGGCGAAAGCGAGAGTGAAGAAAGCATCATCGTTAGCTGATACCCGCCAATTGTTTAGGTTTATTAAGGATACCTAAGAGAAAAAGACGATGGCTAGTGAAACCACCGAAAAGGATAGTACCCTGATGACGTTTCAAGGCAGACATCTAGAACTTTGAGTGAAACACTTTGAAGCACAGCTCAACTAGCCCACAGCAACGCCTCAGTTGTCTGATATCTAGCCTGAACCTGAATAGGACGTAGATGTCGGTATTTCAGCTCTCTTTGAAGTTGAGAAAGGCGTATGGAACCTGAAATGATGCGCATCAGTGGAATCTGACGGTTTACCACTCGAAGTTTTTGAGAATGGAAGTATTAAATTACTAAGTAGAGAAACGAATGTACTTGGTAGTACATGGGAATCAGACGTGGTCCTTTCAAATTGGTCTAAATCACTAATCATTCCGGTCTATAAGAAGAGACAGAAGTCTTCGTGTAGGAATTAGTTTGACTTACATCGCATCGAGAAAAACCTGGGATCCATAGTTATTCAATGCCTAACTGGAGCGCGAGAACAGCAAACTCGGGAAAATCAGGTGGGTTTTTTAGGCCTTAACGAGGTTGCATCGATCAAACTTTTACTCTTCTGAAGGTTATGGAATATAGGCGTACTTATCGGCGGTCGACACTATATTTTTTAACGTAAGGGCAATATTTGACTGTATCAACCGCGTGTTGTTGTACGGTGTCTGACTGTGAAGGAATTGCTGAGCAAGTATATGACACTAATCGAAGCTCTCTGCTCGAACTCACGCAGTCGTGTAAAGGGTTATATGGATTTACCATGTGAATTAGCGATAACTAGTTTTCACCAGAGATGTCTGCTGTCTTCTTTCCTATTTAATTTCGTAATAGATGTATAAATTGACATTACATTTGGTATGTCTGACTTCAGAGGGATTGAATTGCTTTTTAGAAGGCACTTGGTTGACTTGGAGTACACGGATGATATTTTCCTATTGGGCGAAGACGCTGACAAAATCCGGAGTTCCCCGAGCTATCTGAGCCGGAACCTGAGTATGTTTGACATGCATTCTGCACCTGTTAGAATCAATATGATGTGCTTCAGGATTTGTATGCAGCTACTCTCAGCCTAGTAATAGGGAGTGATGCGGTAGAATGCGTTTACCACTTCATTTACTTGAGAATTTACACTTGTCCTTATGGGTTACTTGCTGATGGAGTACGAGTTTGGATGCAAAAGACACTTGGCACTTGTCAAATTGCGTCGTCTTTGGCACCTGGAAGATACCATCTCGATGAAACAATAGAAATTCGAATCGATTAGTTCCTTTTATAGTTTCTGCTGTTGTTATTAGTGGACAGAGTTTATCTGAACAATGTGATCCATTTGTGCAATAAGTTTTGAACAAAAAGAAGAAAGGATGATATAATTGACCCTTATCGTTCTTAACTTTAATCCCGTATTGTTCTATTTGTCCTCGCATTCTTCGATTTTATGTGAGTTGACGTGAGAAGTAAATAAGTGTTCAGATATGTCGAAACTTATTGCTCAAGCACATCGCTTTGTTCAGATAAATTTTGTCTTCTAATGACTTTATCCTAGTAGGAATTCTTTTTTCATTTTTTAACGAAATCTATTTTGTAAATTGCCAGATTTCCACTAATGAAGACACATACAATGCTGTTGTTGAAACAGATCGTGGCTCAAAAGAAAAGGTTCGAATTTATGATCTTGGGGGAACGACTAAATTAGAGCGTCATTTTGTAAGCTGTGCTGATGCATTTATTTTGGTTTATGATGTAAGCGATGCGAAATCTTTTACTGCAGTTCAAAATTTAAAGCAAGACGTAAATTCCTTTTTATCATTTTTATCCGAATGCTTATATTTCTACAGATCGACAAATACCGAGAAAAACGTGATCTATGCATCGTATTGTGTTGTCATAAAGTTGATAAACTTAGGGATATAACTCTAGATTCTACAGAAGTTTCTCGATGGACCCAATCTGAGAAAGGTGAATAAAATTATTTCCCCCATCATATTTCATTTAATTTTATTGAATAGATAAAACTATATCGTTTGTATAACATGAATGGAAAACACTTATGGGACATCAATGCATGCAATGTCTAAAACGTTAAGACCATATGTTGATAAGTTGTTGCGAAATTGGCAGCTACGCAGTCAATCAGATTTACAGGGACAAATAAAAAAAAGAGGCAGTGGAACTGTCATATATGCCTTTGAAAAACAAACCGAGTATAAGTGGCATTAGGTTGGTTTTGTTCATTTCTATTCTTTTACTTCCTCATCTTTATCCTCTTCGAGGACCTACAAACATTCGAAAGTATTCACAAAACCTGGAATCACATTTCACTCACTAATTGGTTCATATGTCAATTTCAGGATAAGCAGCCACTACATGGATCGTCACCTAAATATCTGTTCTCATTCTAGAATCATCACTTGGCTGAGTTGTAGAGACGAAAAATATTTACTTGTCCCATGTCAGTATTATCTACAGAAGTTTTATGACAACTCCGTGCTATAGTCTCTACTGTTTCCGGAGGTAGGTAGCTAACACACTCGTTGGATATTCTATGATGTGGTTATATCGTGTTACCTACTGTCTTTTACCGTTGCATTAGTAACCCCGTTTTTTGAATCTGACGTAGGAAGTCGAATCGAGGTGTGCTCAGCAACTACGTGCACGTTTGTGTAGTGGGCAATGAGTCACACATTTTTGGGAAGGCCAGTGATACTACTTGGTTGTCTAGACCACAGTAGGTGGAACTGCGTTGGAGCCCATGACCCTTGACCAATGAACTCCAGCCATATAACGTAAAAAATACCCTTAAGGATCTTCTAGAACTCTAGAAATCTTCTTGTCGTTCGATATTTTCCAAGTTTCATATTGGTTGCACAAACCAGGTGTTGTTACCTGAGGGGTATGTGAATGTTTCATTGAAGCCAAATTTAGTCAGGGTCATGAATTTAATCGTGTTTTCTGTATCTGAATGAATATATTCATCAATCTGATAACTGGGGTAAATGTGATTGCTCCTGTGACTGAAGCAGTTTATTCACTCACAAATCTGTCTTTATGCTTAAATGAGACAGTGTTGCAAACCGTTATTTTGACTTCATTTTATGTCTTGCAAACGAAGCGTAGAAGCAGGTTCAGGCTGGAAACGGTTAAAGACGATTGGCTGTTAGCTCAGCCGAGCAGGGAAATGCAGGCTTCCTCGTTGAAGTTCATGTGACAACCGAAACTGGCGGTTGGAGTCTGTGGTCGATACAGCTAGGAATCGATCTCAGTGGTGCTGATGTATCCACACATTATCGTTACTTTATTCGTCGTATCGAATTTCATTATTCTTTTATCTTTTCTCCTGATGACTTTCTACCACTTTCGATTACTTTCTTACTTATTTCTGTGTCGTTCATCTTTTTACCTCTTACCATGGTGTGCTGATTTGTGGTACACTAAATTGTTAGACCATAGTAATACCACGCTACACGTTGATTCTGATTGACTATTTGGAACGATCAGGAAGGACGAAGCAGCTGCCACTGGTCCAATCACTAACCTTTAAGTTCCACTCTATTCATGAGTTAATCCAAGTCAATACTAATGAATCAAAAACCCTAGTGATATTTACTTGGTATGTTATAATATTCAGTTAATTAGTGGTAAAAGCTAAGGTTGTTGAACATCTACTAGTTTTTTGCCAATTCATGTAACTGCCTGGCTACCTCACTAAATATGCAGTCATTTCTTCTATCTTTTGGTAGACAGACAGACAAAATCAACGTAGAACCTCCACACAAGTATATCCGTTCAAATTACCACACTTCACAGTTCACAGAGAACAAGTGGATAAAAAAAGACTACTATCAACGTAGACAAAGGGGTATGAGAAAACAAACAATTTGAAGATAACTGTCAGTGAAAATGTTCAAGCTTTAGAAGACATTACAGATGAAACACATCTGTCCTATTGTCACCGATTTTCAACCACGTCACCATGGGTCCTCAATTACTGACTCCTTTCATCTCGGTGACCCCAACCAGGCAGTATACATCTTCCAACACTGCTCAGACCGTCAGTCACGGACTTCATCGGCTAGTTCCACTTCATTGTCTGGCGATCTGAACCCTAATTCCAACGTCTCCTAGCATAACACGTTGAGGTAGGTGGTGAGTGGCTTAACATGAGAAATACAAGACCAAGTCATCTCGGTGAAGGTTCACAACCTCTTCAATCCACTTGCCTGATTTACCTAGTACCCTTCGTCTGAGCTCGACATTAATCACACAATGATCCCACCAAACGTGAACATTGCTCCGAAGACACCTTTGATCAAAACCTTGTAGCCGCTTTATATCTACTTTTAACGGTCATGTCAGCCGAATAACAAGACAGAACGGACTGCAAAGTAGTAAACTCGTCCTTTGATGGATAGTCGGATATCTCGCTAGTCGGCGCCATAGATGACACAAGTTGGCAAATACCAAACGAGCCCTCCTTATCCGAGCTGAGATTTCGTCAGCAACCAGCCCGTTCGGACTGATGCAACTCTCCAAGTAATTGAAATTGTCGACACGCTCCACTACTTCACTCCTTATCATTAACCTGGAAGTGTTTGCAGACCAGTTCTGGAATATTATTTTACATTTGATAGGTGCCAGCGAAACATGCCAAACACACTCAGATTTCTGCTCAACGTCCTTAGGAAGACCTTACATTTTGTCAGCATTTACACCTAGCAGGACAGTATCGTTTGCATAGTCCAAGTCAACCAGATGACCTCCAGGTGGTAGATGAATTCCAGTGAAGTCAGACGTGTCTAAGGTTGTGTCGATTAGTATGTCTACACTACACGTTGATTCTGATTGACTATTTGGAACGATCAGGAAGGACGAAGCAGCTGCCACTGGTCCAATCACTAACCTTTAAGTTCCACTCTATTCATGAGTTAATCCAAGTCAATACTAATGAATCAAAAACCCTAGTGATATTTACTTGGTATGTTATAATATTCAGTTAATTAGTGGTAAAAGCTAAGGTTGTTGAACATCTACTAGTTTTTTGCCAATTCATGTAACTGCCTGGCTACCTCACTAAATATGCAGTCATTTCTTCTATCTTTTGGTAGACAGACAGACAAAATCAACGTAGAACCTCCACACAAGTATATCCGTTCAAATTACCACACTTCACAGTTCACAGAGAACAAGTGGATAAAAAAAGACTACTATCAACGTAGACAAAGGGGTATGAGAAAACAAACAATTTGAAGATAACTGTCAGTGAAAATGTTCAAGCTTTAGAAGACATTACAGATGAAACACATCTGTCCTATTGTCACCGATTTTCAACCACGTCACCATGGGTCCTCAATTACTGACTCCTTTCATCTCGGTGACCCCAACCAGGCAGTATACATCTTCCAACACTGCTCAGACCGTCAGTCACGGACTTCATCGGCTAGTTCCACTTCATTGTCTGGCGATCTTGAACCCTAATTCCAACGTCTCCTAGCATAACACGTTGAGGTAGGTGGTGAGTGGCTTAACATGAGAAATACAAGACCAAGTCATCTCGGTGAAGGTTCACAACCTCTTCAATCCACTTGCCTGATTTACCTAGTACCCTTCGTCTGAGCTCGACATTAATCACACAATGATCCCACCAAACGTGAACATTGCTCCGAAGACACCTTTGATCAAAACCTTGTAGCCGCTTTATATCTACTTTTAACGGTCATGTCAGCCGAATAACAAGACAGAACGGACTGCAAAGTAGTAAACTCGTCCTTTGATGGATAGTCGGATATCTCGCTAGTCGGCGCCATAGATGACACAAGTTGGCAAATACCAAACGAGCCCTCCTTATCCGAGCTGAGATTTCGTCAGCAACCAGCCCGTTCGGACTGATGCAACTCTCCAAGTAATTGAAATTGTCGACACGCTCCACTACTTCACTCCTTATCATTAACCTGGAAGTGTTTGCAGACCAGTTCTGGAATATTATTTTACATTTGATAGGTGCCAGCGAAACATGCCAAACACACTCAGATTTCTGCTCAACGTCCTTAGGAAGACCTTACATTTTGTCAGCATTTACACCTAGCAGGACAGTATCGTTTGCATAGTCCAAGTCAACCAGATGACCTCCAGGTGGTAGATGAATTCCAGTGAAGTCAGACGTGTCTAAGGTTGTGTCGATTAGTGTGTCTACACTACACGTTGATTCTGATTGACTATTTGGAACGATCAGGAAGGACGAAGCAGCTGCCACTGGTCCAATCACTAACCTTTAAGTTCCACTCTATTCATGAGTTAATCCAAGTCAATACTAATGAATCAAAAACCCTAGTGATATTTACTTGGTATGTTATAATATTCAGTTAATTAGTGGTAAAAGCTAAGGTTGTTGAACATCTACTAGTTTTTTGCCAATTCATGTAACTGCCTGGCTACCTCACTAAATATGCAGTCATTTCTTCTATCTTTTGGTAGACAGACAGACAAAATCAACGTAGAACCTCCACACAAGTATATCCGTTCAAATTACCACACTTCACAGTTCACAGAGAACAAGTGGATAAAAAAAGACTACTATCAACGTAGACAAAGGGGTATGAGAAAACAAACAATTTGAAGATAACTGTCAGTGAAAATGTTCAAGCTTTAGAAGACATTACAGATGAAACACATCTGTCCTATTGTCACCGATTTTCAACCACGTCACCATGGGTCCTCAATTACTGACTCCTTTCATCTCGGTGACCCCAACCAGGCAGTATACATCTTCCAACACTGCTCAGACCGTCAGTCACGGACTTCATCGGCTAGTTCCACTTCATTGTCTGGCGATCTTGAACCCTAATTCCAACGTCTCCTAGCATAACACGTTGAGGTAGGTGGTGAGTGGCTTAACATGAGAAATACAAGACCAAGTCATCTCGGTGAAGGTTCACAACCTCTTCAATCCACTTGCCTGATTTACCTAGTACCCTTCGTCTGAGCTCGACATTAATCACACAATGATCCCACCAAACGTGAACATTGCTCCGAAGACACCTTTGATCAAAACCTTGTAGCCGCTTTATATCTACTTTTAACGGTCATGTCAGCCGAATAACAAGACAGAACGGACTGCAAAGTAGTAAACTCGTCCTTTGATGGATAGTCGGATATCTCGCTAGTCGGCGCCATAGATGACACAAGTTGGCAAATACCAAACGAGCCCTCCTTATCCGAGCTGAGATTTCGTCAGCAACCAGCCCGTTCGGACTGATGCAACTCTCCAAGTAATTGAAATTGTCGACACGCTCCACTACTTCACTCCTTATCATTAACCTGGAAGTGTTTGCAGACCAGTTCTGGAATATTATTTTACATTTGATAGGTGCCAGCGAAACATGCCAAACACACTCAGATTTCTGCTCAACGTCCTTAGGAAGACCTTACATTTTGTCAGCATTTACACCTAGCAGGACAGTATCGTTTGCATAGTCCAAGTCAACCAGATGACCTCCAGGTGGTAGATGAATTCCAGT